GTATAAACACACACTGAGCTTATAGAGTGCTTATATCAGCGTATAAACACACGCTGAGCTTATAGAGTGCTTATATTAGTGTATAAACACACGCTGAGCTTATAGAGTGCTTATATCAGCGTATAAACACACGCTGAGCTTATAGAGTGCTTATATCAGCGTATAAACACACGCTGAGCTTATAGAGTGCTTATATCAGCGTATAAACACACACTGAGCTTATAGAGTGCTTATATCAGCGTATAAACACACGCTGAGCTTATAGAATGCTTATATTAGTGTATAAACACACGCTGAGCTTATAGAGTGCTTATATCAGCGTATAAACACACGCTGAGCTTATAGAGTGCTTATATTAGTGTATAAACACACACTGAGCTTATAGAGTGCTTATATCAGCGTATAAACACACGCTGAGCTTATAGAATGCTTATATTAGTGTATAAACACACGCTGAGCTTATAGAGTGCTTATATCAGCGTATAAACACACGCTGAGCTTATAGAGTGCTTATATTAGTGTATAAACACACGCTGAGCTTATAGAGTGCTTATATCAGCGTATAAACACACACTGAGCTTATAGAGTGCTTATATCAGTGTATAAACACACGCTGAGCTTATAGAGTGCTTATATCAGCGTATAAACACACACTGAGCTTATAGAGTGCTTATATTAGCGTATAAACACACACTGAGCTTATAGAGTGCTTATATCAGCGTATAAACACACGCTGAGCTTATAGAGTGCTTATATCAGCGTATAAACACACGCTGAGCTTATAGAGTGCTTATATCAGCATATAAACACACACTGAGCTTATAGAGGCTGTGTTAAAGCTGTGTGTCTCTGACCTGCAGTCGCCGTGTCCGACATTAAAGCTGTGCTGACGGGGAAAGACTGTCCGCATATGAAGGAGAAGAGCGCGCTCAAGCAGAACAAGGTAAGTCTACATCTGCAGCGCTGTTGAACAGACACACACACACACACACACACACACACACACACACACTCTGTGATCATCGTGTGATCGTTTAAGAGTGTGTGCCCTCATGAAAACACTATAGTAATGTAGAGTAAATACTGCCGTGTTATTGAGCCTGACTAAAGCAGCTGTATTGATCCGCTGTGCTGATTATTCTGTGGCTGTGGTGACTCTTGTGTGTGTGTGAGCCTTACTATAGTGAATATACCAGTACATTACAACAGCGTGGTCATTTGCTGCAGATACTCTACTACTGTGAGTTTATTACTATAGTAATCATGACTTTACATACGCAGTAAGACACTATAGTATACTACAATTCATAGCATTTATCTGTGTGTACTATATTACTGCTTCTTGAGTGTAACGTCAGTATTTCAGTCTCTAGCACAGATATGCAGAGAGAGTGTGATGTCGAGATGTTCATGTGTATATTCAGTGTGTTGTGTGGTGTATAGCGCGCCTCTGACCTCACTAACACACACCACAGATAGAGAATAACTCACAGTGTCCAACACTGTCTGCAGTTTGACTGAGGGTTTTGCTGGTGTGTGTGTGTGTGTGTGTGTGTGTGTGTGTGTGTGTGTGTGTGGGTGTGTAGGAAGTGTTGGAGCTGGCGTTCTCCATCCTCTACGACCCTGACGAGTCCCTCAACTTCGTGGCACCAAACAAATATGAGGTGAGTGTGTGAAACAGCAGTGCTTTACAGCTGTTATACCACAGACATCAGTGTATTCTGTTCTGCTGGCCGTGACGATGTTCAAGGGCTGATTGATGAAGCCATGTCCACTAACCGCTCGCTCCTTCAGCATTACTGAACTACAGCCAGGATGAAGGAGACACACATTAAAATAGACCTCAGACTTGTGTTGCAGAACCATATTAATGCCAGATCATATTCAACCCATTTGTGTTGGTCGTTATTAGGATTAATTAGTTCAGCTGGAGAACACACACTCTCGCTTTCCCCCTCTGATGACACGTACAAATGGAGAATGTCAATCACAGTCTGATTAACCAGTCACGATCTTTACCATTAGAGGCTGCTGGAGATACTCACACACTGCTGACACACACACACACACACACACACACACACACACTACCTGGGGTTAAACCCTGCACAATAGTGAGTTTTACATAATAAGTGCCCTTTCATGTCTGGTTTGTTCTGCTGTTGTGTGGTTTATCTGGTGTTTGCTGACAGTGATGCGGTGTGTGTGTGTGTGTGTGTGTGTGTGTGTGTGTGTGTTCACCAGTACTGTATCTGGACAGACGGCCTGTCAGCTCTGCTAGGGAAGGATCTGTCCAGTGACCTCACACGAAGTGACCTTGACACACTAATGAGTATGGAGATGAAGCTCCGCCTCCTGGACCTGGAGAACATCACCATCCCTGAGGCTCCGCCCCCCGTGCCCAAAGAGCCCAGCAGCTACAACTTCAGCTACAACTACGGCTGAGCGGCGGCGCGGAGTGTGTGTGTTATAGAGACGGCACACACACTTTACTGAACACACACCGTACGAGTTCTCCATTCCTTCATGTCAGAAACACTCTGCTGTGCGTGTGTGTGCGTGTGCGTGTGTGTGTGAAACGCTTCAACTAAACAGAAGGGTTAGCTCCTTTATACACACAGATGACTAATATTTGCTGATGTTTGATTTGTCAATAGAAATCTATTTTTGTACGTGATGTGAAAGACGTGACGCTGCATGAAGCGGAGGAGAACTCAGATCCACACACACACACAGACACACCCTCTCTGGAGGACTCGCCGTCACCGCAGACACGCCGCTCCTTTACCTTGCTCCTTTATTTGCTCAGATTGCTGTGGTGGATTTATATTTGCTTGACCTAGCGTACGAGTCTTGTGTGTGAGAGCCGATCTCGGACAGATCTCTGGATGTTTGCTGCATCATAAGCTGGTCGTTTCGGATGTTTTAGTGGGCAGATGTGTCAATATTTGATTTGAAATACTGTACACACTTTATATATATATATATATACACACACAGTGTTGATCATAAATGAGTGCCCCCTCACAGATCTCTCCTTTAAATGAACATGTCCCACAGGGCGCTTACAGTTATATATTTGTGCATATTCATAGTCAGATCTTTTAAAGAGTAACTCTGTTGAATTGAAAGCTATTATTTGTCTATAATCTTCATTTAAATGCAGCTTGATATATTGAGAGTGGATTACAGTATTCATTTCTAACAGGGGGTGTACTCATTAATGCTTAACGCTGAATATATATATATATATATCTATATCTTAAATATCTGTTTATATAGTGTCTTCAGAAAGTATTGATCCCTTGATTTCTCATTGTGAGAAGCTGACTGATGAGTGTGGTGTTTGTGAAGGGTTAAACCTTATAAAGCTGAAGATGGCGGTGTAAGACAGACGGGTGTGAATACTTCCTCAAGGCCACTGTATATCAGTTGTATATAATGTGCTGCCTTATCACAGTGAACGCAATGGATCTGTGTGCAATAATACCCGTGTTAACGTCATAGCTTGATATTTACATTAGACTCTTCATCTGTTTGATCATATGAGCTGTGCTGCACATCCTCAATAAATGCAGTTATCAACAAACCAGCTGTGTGTCTGTGTGTGTGTGTGTGTGTGTGTGCGTGCGTGCGTGCGTGCGTGCGTGCGTGCGTGTGTGTGTGTGTGACCCATCGATCAGTCCTAGTCTTGTGTCTGGTGCTGAATGTCTAAGGTAAGTGTGTATTGTATTGTAGAGCTGTCAGGATGGATCTAGCTGTAGACTACACTCCAGAGTGCTCCAGGTATATGCTGTAGATGCAAATAAAGCCAGTCTGTGCCTAACACCGGTCCCTCTGTACTTCTCCACTTATGTTCCCCCAGAATGGGAGCAGCTGTTGTCTCATGTCAGCATGCTGTGATTACAGTATTAAAGCGTCTGCAGATGCTCTTCATCAGTCACTGCTCAACACCGCTCCGTCACACACACTGGCTGCTTATTTTCACTCTATATATGATCTCAACCATGCAGAAGATGACTGACTTCACTGACGGCAGTCTGATAGCGATCAAGGGGACTGACACAAGGACAGTACAGACCATTCCTGAAGGAGTAGCCTCAAGACCCAAACAGAGAACAGCATCCAGGAAGATGCAGAAGTAGATCCCATAATCAGGACAGAAGTAGATCCCGTCTCCAGAACAGAAGTAGATCCCGACTTCAGGACAGAAGTAGATCCTGTCTCCAAGACAGAAGTAGATCCTGACTTCAGGACAGAAGTAGATCCTGTCTCCAAGACAGAAATAGATCCCGTCTCTAGAACAGAAATAGATCTTGTCTTCAGGGCAGAAGTAGATCCAGTCTCCAGAACAGAAGTAAGTTCCATATTCAGGACAGAAGTAGATCCTGTCTCCAGGACAGCAGTAGATCCCGACTTTAGGACAGAAGCAGATCCTGTCTCCATGACAGAAGCAGATCACGTCTCCAGGACAGAAGTAGATCCTGTCTCAGGACAAAAGTAGATCCCGACTTCAGGGCAGAAGTAGATCCTGTCTCAGGACAGAAGTAGATCCAGTCTCTAGAACAAAAGTAGATCTTGTCCTCTACTATCTGTACGTAATGGTTAGACTGTTTATCAAACAAAATAAATCAAATGGGGAAACTGATTGGTCGGATCTGCTGTCCGTCAGATTCCTGAGCCAGTGTTCATACATTTAGACAAAATCAAACACCCTGAGCAGCTCAGCTCAGTCACAGTAGAGTGAGTTACCCCCAGATGTCTCCATGCCGAGGAGTGAATGACCTTCAGCAGAGTCTGTTCAGGAGAAAAGGAGAGCGTTCAGCTTTGGCATCATAAGTGTGGTGGAGCGACTGATCTCAGGTCTGCAGCTGTGGTCACTGTATTTCCCGCACTCACTCGTATCCAGTGTTCCTGATCAATGTGTCACGGATCGCTGAGTGATGATGTCAGCTGAGGGGGTGTGTGTGGTCTATTCAGGGCTCTGAGTGTGTGTGTGTGTGTGAGGAGGGGCGCCTGTGCACTTGTGCAGTCTGTCTTCAGCAGTCTTCAGGAGAGGATCAGACTGGAGCTGGTCATGTCTCTGTGGGTCGCCGCCGCTGTGCTCCTGTCCGCTGTTTTCTCCAGGACTTCAGCCTTTAATCTGGACACCACCACCATCCTCACCAAAGAGGGCGAGCAGGGCAGCTTCTTCGGCTTCTCCGTGGCTCTACACCAACAGATCACTCCAGAACCCCGCAGCTGGTGAGTCTGCACTGATCTGAGATCTGACACACTGCAGAATAACACACCAAGTCCACTCATCTCTGAAGCACTTTTCCAGTGAGTGTGTGTGAGAGCAGCTGGACACAGAGGAAGCTCCACTGAACCGGCATCAGTCCAGTTCTCTGAGTGGAGTTTAGCTGAGCTCAGTGTAGGACAGAAGCTGTTACAGTAAACACCGAGCGAGCGAGCGTCCGTGATCAGTCTCACAGGGTTACTGAGTGTGCTGTGCCCCGGCCCGAGTGTGAGCAGCTCTCTTTACTGTGTTTCAGTCTGATTAAAGGGCTCGTCAACACAGATGGACATGTTTAGCGTGTTCACACTTTCATCAGTGTCTTTCTTCTGTTCAACACTAAAGGAGATGTTTTGAAGAATGCTGAAAGCCAACATTATAAGATCTTCACACTTCAGCTCTCTCCTTCAAACCCACACACTTTAAACACTGCTGAGTCTCAGTGTTGGGTCAAATATGAACCGATCAAACCGCTGGGTTAAGAGTGCACTGGGGATTTACTTGGGGAAAAATAACACCAAAACAACCCAGTGGTATTGTCCATGTTTGACCCAATATTGGGTTACAAAAGCAACACAACATTACTAATCAGCGCACACACACACACACACACACACACACACACACACACACACACACACACACATGTAGTTTAGTAGATGCATTGTGGAATATGAGTGTTATAGAGAAGTAGAGCTCAGAATCAGTGTGTCATTCTGACGTAAACATGTGTGTGTGTGTGTGTGTGTATGTGTGTGTGTTTGAAGCTGATTAATTGAAGTGAACTAATTAATTATTATGAGTTGTTTGAGTTTAATGATCATTTCTGTTTCTGCAGTTTGATGTTGACAGCAGGATGGGTCATTCATTCCTGTCAGTGTTCGTCAATGAGTCATATCAGTGTGTGTGTGTGTGTGTGTGTGTGTAATTCTGTCCCCTGTGTGTGTGTTTATAGAGGAGTCTGTCTGTCTGCAGTGTGTAAAAGCAGCCTGTGTGTGTGTGTGTGTGTGTGTGTGTGTGTGTGTGTGTGTGTGATATAAGGTTACCCATGCGCTGTTTTAGCCAGGAGCTGTTAGTCGTCTCAGTAAGCTCTGTATCTGTGAGAGGTTTGAGGCTGTAGGAGTGTTTGTTTGCGCTGATCACTCCGATGTTTCTCGTCTGCAGGATCTGTGTGTGTGTGTGTGTGTTTCTCAGAGGCTTTATTGATTATCAGTGTGGTTGAGATGTCTGATGGACTCTTCAGTTGAACACTCAGAGCTGCTGTAGAAACTCTCTGCTGACTGAAGAGGAGCTGCTCACTGTGATCTGATCAGGGACATTCCCCAAATGTGTGTGTGCAGACCGCTGCAGGTGTGTGTGAATCATGTGTGCGGTGTGTGTGATGTGTTTCAGTGGTGTCAAGTGTATCAGGCTGTCCCGCTGGACTGTATTATTGATCTGGAGTGTGTCGCTGCAGTTTCTGTGTGTTTGCTCTATTTATACTCCTGTGAGCTCTGCTGCCCGTTATAGAGCCACCTGACCTCCGCTATTTACAGCTCAGACACACACACACACACACACACACACACACACATTCCTCTTCAACACTGAGGGACAGTTCTGATTCTACATGTGAACTCAAAATGATTAAGTATGGGTAGATGAACTGGTCAGTCCCCGTAACACAGTATTGGTCAGTTGGACCGCACACTGTTATATACGGGCTGTGATCGCGCTCACATCAGTAAATGCAGTGTGTGTTCTGACATTAATGAAAGAGAAATGATAATAGATCAACGTGTCATGTTAACAGAGAGGAATGAATCCTGCAGAGAGTGTCAGTATACTCCACCGCTCAACACTTCCGCCTCAGCTTTATTTATTCATGTAGTGTTTATTGAACATTCTCCTGTTGATCAGGGCGGTTATTAATGTTTATTAATGAGCCCAAACTCTTGACCAGTAGTGTGTATTAGCTAATGGAGCCTCCTCATGATGGAGCCTGACGACACACTGACAGAGGAACTGTTGAGCTGGGCCAAACATTGTACAGCGCAGTACAGGACATCACGACTGCAGGAATCACCAAGTGTGTGTGTGTGTGTAAGTGTGTCTGTCTGACTATATGTGTGTGTTTTCGTGTGTGTCTGTTTATCTGTGTGTGTGTGTGTGTGTGTGTGTGTGTGTGTGTGTGTGTGTGTGTGTGTGTGTGTGAGTGTGAGTGCGCATGTGTGTGATTTAATGTAATCTCAAAATTGCTCCTAACGTAAAAAAACATTGTGGCCACACACCGACAATCTTTTTACTATTAATATTGGGGGAATTTACAAAATTACAAAGATTTGGACAAATATATAAAGATCCTCCACTGGACACTTTTAAAACAAGACTTGTCCTCCTTCAAAAGTGGGCTCTTCATTGCTAAAAAACTTTTCAGTGAGCTGGAGAATCTGCCGTCCTGCAGATCTGCAGAGCACACAATGTTCCCGAACACCTTTAAAGCCTAAAAGAGCCTTGATCGTACAATTCTCTGCTATCGTCTTCTTGCTAATCTCAGAAACGTGTAATATTAGATAATTATATTCTTGCAGTGATAATAACGTTCCAGCTCCCACGAGTGCAGCACAGGCGTCCGGACTGAACTGTCATGTCATTTACTGAGCTTTGAAGTCTCCTGTTCTGCATCTCTGAGTTTGCGGATGATAATTATCATTTGGAGGAGAGCGAGTTTAACCCGACTGCATCTTTGAGGATGTTTTCTGCAGTAGTGCTAGTGGCAGGAGTGCTTTTGAACTGGCTAACGTCATTTCTTGAGCACAGAGAGAGAGAGAGAGAGAGAGGGGGGGAAAAGATAGAC